ATCCAATATGCTTTTTGTTAAATTCAACGAACATCTACTCATTGGTCCGCTAACTGTCTGTTCTGTGAGTGAACTGAAAAAAAAGCCCTGGCTCTGTAAATGGGAAACAAACAAAGTGGCTCAGACCGAGACGCAACACTATTAATACCAATCAGCAACTGTTAGTGCTGGTGCAGGAACAAGTCCACGGATGTATAAAGAGAAATGCCTTGGGAGCAAGAAGGACGGTAGTTCTGGAGGGACCGCATACATTTACCAGAATCGCTGACTTAAGTGCAAATCTTCGGCGCAAATCTTCGGCGCCAAGGAGTGTCGCCTCAGTTGAAGCCCTTAACATACGATAACGTACTATACAAGACAAAAGAAGTTGTCAGGGGTGAGCTAGGATGTGTCGAGCCTACCAGTCAGCAGGCTTGCATAGAAAACAATGGATGTCTGTGTGTTTTCACACGTCATATGCCGCTGGTGTGTGTTGCACTGTTGCAAGAGTAATCTTGTGATCCCTAAGAGGGGTCCCCAGGTTGGAAACACTGTCTTAGAGCACCTATTGCAACTCACAAAGCAAAACGTTTCACATATCATTTAAACTGTGACTTGTCTCCGTGCCTTGCAGAACACGGCCTCGCTGCTCTCTGTTCTCGTGTCTTTTAGTCCTCTGGAGGTTGGAACAGCAAAGGCAGATTGTCAAACTTGTTGTTGTTTTGCTGTGTCTATACTGTCTGGTTTTACTGGTCTACGTCGCTTGCTAGATGAATGATCTGAAATTATTCTGAAAAACGCACATATTAGTGTTTGTTCTTGCAGAGGAATGTGTTCGTCCCTTTAGACAGATGTCGTCTGGCTCATGTTTGTGTAGCTATTAAGACCTGAACGCGCATGACTGAATGAACTTCCAAGCTGAAGTATGGACTTCATCTTTCCCTGTGATCTGTTTTGTTTATTGTCTATTCTCGCTTGTCTTCTCCACTGTTTCTATTCCTCCTTGAAGTCAGTCTCCCTGTCGCTAGTTGTTAATCTGTCCGTTTTTGGCTGGAATGGCTTCTGATTGGATGGCGATGTCTATGATAGATGACCCTCAGTTTTGAAATGGCTTGTGTGCCCTCCTCTCAGCTGAGCTGGACCTCCGCATCTAAAGGGCAGTCCTGTCGGGGGACGAGTCTGATTGGTGTCTCTCCTTGCCCTCCTCTCTTGTTTTTGTGCTCACCTAGGTGGGCGAGTGCAGTAGGGGGATTGAAGCCCCACAGGAGCTCCCACTAGGGAGGGGTCTGTGTGTGCGGGCCTCTTCCATGCCCCGTCTGGCTGTAGAGTCGCAGGTACATCTTCCATGACACAGCCTCTGTGCTGGAACTTGAGGACGTCAGTGGCTGCATGGGCTCTAACGCCAAAGTTCCTTATGTGATGCCGAGAAGTTAAATCAGAGTTTTGGCTTGTCTTTTGCTACTTTGGGAGTCTGATTAAGGTTCAAAGAATTGTTAACATGGGGTGATCTTTGAATGCTGATGCCTTCTAACCTTGAGCTCTCTCTCGTCTCGAGAATAGAGGAAACTAATCCAAAATAGTCTGTTAGATGCACGTTATTTTTGCACTGAACTGAAGCATGTTCTGTTTTTGAAAAGCTCTCTGCAATGGTCCTCCTGCTCCTGCATTAAATGATCCGAGTGTAATCCCAGCATGTTCCCTGTGCTTTCATGTTTGTCTGTTTTTGTTTCGTGTGTTTTCACATATAAAAAGACGGAGGTTGCAAGTGGCTCCATGAAACGTTCAGCCTCGACTGTTGCCGATCAGCGGGTCAATGGTCTTTGGGAGGAGGACAAAAGTCCGGAGAGAGTTTATCGACCTCGTCACAAAAGCTACAAGGCTGCTGGTGAGTCCCGCTCACCTGTTATCACATCAGCTTGTGTGTGTATGGTATAAAGTGTTTATTTGGTCATCCCACCATTGGCAAACATGGAACACTGGTGCAATGGTAATGCTTTAATTCATGTTGTCTCCTCTGCTGAATGTCTTCCCTCTAGTTTCCCGCTCAGAGCACTGGAAGCAGGGTGACAAGGAGCGTGGCCGATCTAAGGAGCGCTGTCACCTCCTTTCTCCAAAAGCGTCTCGTTGTAACTCAGAAGAAAGAAGTTTGCAGCCCTCACGATCTTCTAGTGCAGAGAGAGCACGCACCCAAGATAAACAGGTGGGTCAGAGCAGCTCTGTCCAACTAGCTGATTCATGGTCTTGGACAGCAACAAAGGCACAAATTAACAACACAACACACTTAAAAGTGAAATTGAAATTGAATCAGCAAATGTCCCCCTCCATTTCTAATTTGCTGCAGTGCCCCTTTAAGTTTAAGTTGCTGGATGTCCTGGAAAAGAAGATTCAATAAGTCTTGTTTGTTCCATTTTGTCTTTATTCTCGGCTCCAGGGCAACAGCTCGGACAGTCCGGTGCCCTCCACCTCAGAGTCCAGCACCCCCAGCGGCCGACGACCCGTACCACAGGCCCGCTCTCGCCCCCACATCTCCTACTCACCGCTACACCCCTCCGTCGGCGAGGACGACGATGAGCAAGGCAGCCCAGAGACCGTGAGGCGGGGCAAGCCCAAATGGAAGACCCAAGAGGGGGTCGCAGGCGAGAGGCGGGGCGACGCAGACCAAGACCCGTCCCCACTTCGACGCTACCCCTCCGAGCCGTTCCTAGCCTCCCAAGACGGCGACCACAGCCCAGACCCCTCCGGCCCCATGGAGACGTTGACCTTCGAGGCGGCTGTGGCCTGCAGCCTGGGACGCTCAAACACCGTCAGCTCGGCCCGGCCTCGCTTGCGGACCGGCTGGCAGGTCCCCAACGGACACTTTCGTAAGCGCATGGTGCAGACGACCTCTGTTGCGGGCTGTGATCCTCTCAGTGACACAGAGGAGGACGACCGGTGCTAGGGACAGGACGCACAGCGTGGAGGAGGAGGAGGAGGAGGAGGAGGAATCCCAGAGAGGCGTTAGAAGGCGCTGTACGACAACGTACACAGTGAAGGTCAATGTGACTCTTTTTGCATCAGTGCTTCGAGGCCGCGAGCCCTCTGGATGTTTGATAAGATGTGAACCCAAAACGAACGAAAACAAAAAGAACAATACTTCCTGAAACTGTAGTTGCCAATTCACACAGAACACTGACAATAAATAAGGTCTATTTCCTGATATGTACTTGATGATAGAGAGTAATAACACATCTCAAATAGTTGTGGGATGCAGAAAATAAATGAATGGATCAAATTACGTCATTTGTGTCGATAGGTATTTTCATTTCTGAAGATGTTTCTCAATGATTCAGTGTTGCTCTTAACAGTATTTATCTGTGGGGTGTGTGAATATGTAACTACATTTTCTTAAAAATTGATTGTTTTGTAAATATGTTGTGATCATCACACCATTGCCATTTATTAGACCAGATCAATACAACAAGCCATGACGAAGAGGCAATCGGATACTTTACCAGACAATGTGGATACTAATAAGAAAACCTCAATAATGCTGGATTTTTTTTACAGTATGAATGAATGTGCAGGGAAAAAACTGCCTGATTTCCCTTGTTATTTTACTTTTTTGTATTGAACATAAGTTGTGAGAAATGAATACAGTTATAGAACAACGTGGAGAAAGATGCTTATTTGTTAATCATGCCTCCAACAAACTTCAGACCTTTAAAATGATCCATCAAAATAGTCGTGTTACAATTATTTCTACCAGTCTACACCCTTTAAATGAGACTTTCCTGGCAATCATATGTACCATTTAATTTTGAGAATTACTGGGCGTGTAATTTTACTGTGAACTGATACAAAATGATCTTTCATCGTTTTTCACCTTTTTCTTCCTTGTGAATATTGTACGAACCATTGCAGACGATGACTGTAGAAACACTCTAGACACCCCATGACACATTTGTTTCACAAATTAACATTACTCTAACTAACTTACTAATAATGTACAGAGGAATTATGCTGTTTGTAATATTTAGAGAGAAAAAATAACAATACACAGTATCAGCTGATGAGCTTTAAAGGTAAAGGAATCTTTGGAAATGTTCATTTTAAGGTTTGTGTTTTTGTTTTTTTTTGCCTGAAGAAGGCCAATTCTGTGAAACTCACGTAACCAAAAACATGGAGATTTGTATCATAAGTACCTGGAATGCAAATACTTTGTGGGTTTTTATGTGTACAATAGCTGTATATACAAATAAAGGTGTCCTCAAGCTGCCACTGTTATTGAATGTCCTTTATTTAATTTAAATATGAAGCCTGGGAAAACATCAAAAACCTTAATAGATGTGAAATTGAAAGAGTAAAGAATTCACACAGAAACTTTATTTAAATGTATATCCTTGATTTACTATTCTTATTAGTTGTTGACACTGATCACACCTTTATTATGGTGACATCTGAACTCATGTTATAAACTGACACATTTCTTTAAATTGATTTTATGCTTCACCCACACAGGTGTTTTCATTTAGTGCCTCTGTTTAAACCTCTATGTCTGCGTAGGACACTCCAGCCTGTGCTTCATGCATTCTTCCACAGAAGACATTTTGTCAATTAGATTAAATTAAATATGATATAGCATATAATATAATACATAACATATTACAACAGTATATATATACTATAATGTGATAAAAAAGTGCCGTTTTTTTGTGTCTATTTGCTTGTTTTACCACAGAATGCCATATGCCGTGTAGACATTACATTAAAAAAACGATTACATCTAAAACAAACTGATTAAAATTGTGCCTATAGTGTTGAAAAATATTTTTGCAATAAAAGTATGAAGAAAATCTATGTTTTACAATAATCTATTCATCAATAGAGTAATTATGAATTATTGACTAATTCTGTTCTTTATCAATATTTTTAATTTATGTTCATGACTGAAAGGGGCGGGACTTCAGCTCTCTGTCAGAACTACGTAAAGGGGAATCATCCAATCACAGCGCAGAATCACACCCGTACGTCATATCCAACCGACCGATAACATGTCCTCCGGTTGAAGAAAGGGCTAGCAAGGAAGCGAACTGTTTAATATTACTTGCAAAGTTCAACGGAGGAGATGTCGCTACTGTACAAAGCTCAGGCCGCTTAGAGTAACAGCCACAGCTGCTGCTGAAGTAGATAGTTTGTAGAAATCGTGATTATTTCAAAGGAATGAGCGACACGGAAGTCGTCCAGCTGGCTAGCGAAAAAAGTAGCTAGCTAGGCTAGTTGTCGTTAGCACGGGAGTTCTTTGTTTTGTTTTTCAGCTGGAGGTCCCTGTGTTCACGAAGAGAAACTGGTGTCGACAGCTTTAACATTTAACGTTGATGGAGACGTTTTAGAATAATGTACATGGTATATTTAGCAATGTGTAGTTGAACTACTAGTTAATGATCAGAGGGATATATTGGACAAAACTATCATTAGCCACCGAGAGCAACTTTAGCAAGAGAGAGAGATCCGATTTTTAACGTTGGGCAGGACCGGGCTGGAGACACGAAGACATGGGCAACTGTCTCAAGTCTCCCACATCAGATGACATCTCTCTGCTTCACGAGTCCCAGTCAGACAGGGCGAGTTTCGGCGAGGGGACAGACCCGGACCTGGAGCCGCCTCCTCCGTACCAGGTCAGAGTTTAACGTTACCAACAACTCCCAGGGTGTTTCATTTAAGAAAATAAAAGTTTCTGGCACACGAATGATGAGTTGTTATAAGATAGTGTTCGTTAAATGTCCATATGCAGACAGTGTTTGTGAAAATATGTCTGTGTCCTGTGTTTCATATATTTTTCTGCCTCAAGTTCAGTCTAGTCAGATAACACCAGAGTAAACAAACTGGTTTCAGAGTAATCATCATTAAATGACCTGTCAAGTATATCCAGACCTAACAGCTGCTTTATCTTTCATCTTGTCCCCACACAGAGCCTCACCAGTCTGTTCACTTTGTACAGACAAAGTAAGCTGATACAGGAGGATAATTGTGTTTTTGTTTCTCTTTTGTCTGTAACCAGGAGCAGGCTCACATGCCCATGTACCACCCCACACCTAGTCAGGCCCGCCTGGCCACCCAGCTGACAGAGGAGGAGCAGATCCGCATAGCTCAGCGCATTGGCCTCATCCAGCACCTCCCGAAGGGTGTTTACGATGGAGGGAAGGACGGCTCAGAGAAGAAGATCAGAGAGTGAGTGATGTTTACACAGAGGAAGGTTCTGAGCAATTTTGACTAATTCAGACATTGTGTTTTTTTGTACTCCTGACTTCAGTATCTCTTTTGTGACAGTCTAAAATGTATGACTGATATTTAATCGTAAATAAGAATGCTATGATATGACATATGGTCCATGGGAAACAAGTCAGCTGCAATATCAGTCTACATAATGCCATGGTAACAATATGTAACATAATTCCCACTGATTTCTGAGGCCAATCTTCGATTATGGGCTATAAAATCAAATTTAATTGAAATTGAATTGAATAGATAACCAGCTTTAAGAAGCTGGAACCAGAGAATAGTTGGCTTTTTATTGAGTTAAATGTTTAATTAGCTATGAACATATTTGCCAACTGTACAGTATCTACTTGTGTGTATTCAAGCTCTTATTTTCCTCTGTTTTCAGATGCGTGATCTGTATGCTGGATTTTGTTTATGGGGACCCCATCCGATTCCTGCCGTGTATGCACATCTACCACATGGACTGTATAGACGACTGGCTGATGAGGTCCTTCACCTGCCCCTCCTGCATGGAGCCCGTGGATGCTGCCCTGCTCTCCACCTACGACGAGACCAACTGATGTTTCACCCCTCCTCCTTAAAGCTTAGATCAAACACACACACACACCCAACAATGGCCCTCTGGTAGAGTGAGAGGAGCTAAAAAAAAAACAAGTTAACTTTTCTTGCACTTTGAAAAATTCAAAATTTGCCACCCAAATGTTGGCCCTCCATGTCCTCTGGTCTAAATAATAAGCTGGTCTTAAACATCAGTTACACAAACTGTTTACAGGCAACACTATGTGTGTGTGTGTGTGTGTGTGTGCGTGTGCGTGCGTGTGTGCGTGCGTGTTGCTGACGGGGAGGGTGTGTGTGAGCTGTTTGATGACTGTGCATTTCCGCTTGAGCCGGTCTCAGTGGCCCCCCCCCAAACTGACCCCAGTTCACCTTCATTCCCAGTTAGTCATCATTAAAATGGATAATAAGGTCAACAGGTGATCGACCAAAATGCTACGAGTTGTCGCTAGAAATCTGTTGGATTCAATTTGAAGCTTTCTGTGGCAACAGTAAGACTTCCTCAACAAAGTGATCTCTGAACATGTGCTCAGAGGCATGGGAATAAACAGCATACATTTACACTGTTGTTAGAAGAAATCACTCTCCAGCTTGTTAGGATTACAAACAAAGAAACCCCTCAAAGATAAATGTACACCTACAGGAGATCAAGGCGACGGGATGTTCGGCTGCTCCAAATGGCCGGACTTTAAAGAAAATGCTTTGAGTCGAAGGGAATGTGACGTCTGACGGGAACGTTCCTCGAGGCGGTGTTTTAAAGTAGCTGGCAGCCAAAGTAAAGGGCTCATTGGTGCATGGGCAGGGTCAGTCAAAAATTAGAAAATGCTTGCACACACTTTTCATCTGATCCAGAGATTTGCACTTTACTTATAGGACAGTATCTAAACAATATATTAATATATGTACCTTATAACCTTGCACTATCAATCCTTCATTTCCTGAGATGCAAAAGTTCTATAACTGAAAAGGTATTTTCAAAGCTGTCAGTAGTCACTTATCACATCGAGGTAAACCTGAAGATGTATTTAATGAAATCTGTGCTTCAGTAGTATGAGCCTCCACTTTGTTCCGCTTGACTTTTCATTCTTGTGTGTGTTTGTGTGGAAATGAAGGGACAGAGGCTTGCTGCGGTTTAAAGGAGAAGTTAAACATCTTGACACAAGAAGACATCAATCTGATTCTGTGCGTTACGTTTCTCCTGGAGCAAGGAGGGGATTAGCTTAGCATAGCATAAAGACTAAGCCGGGGTAAACTGCTAGCATGGCTCCGAAGCTGCGTCCTCAGAAATGTAAGCGAAGGCGTGGTTAAAAAAGCAAGCGTATCTCCGGTAGCTGGGAGTAAAGTGTTCAATAAACCATTTAAGTACAAGATATAATGTGTTAATAATGAACTAGAGAGTGCTGGGTGGCTTTTTTATTTTTTACTTTGGAGGGCTAAGCTAGCTGTTTCCCCCTGCTTCCAGTCTTTATGCTAAGCTAATAGCCTCCCTCATCTAGCTTACTTGGCGTACAGACATGACGAAGGTATCAATCTGCTCATCAAAGCTAAGAAGCATTTTTCACAAATGTTGAACTGCTCCTTTAAGGGGAAAAAAAGAGGCTAAATTTGAAGCAAACTTGAAACTCTTAGATTTTGAATCCACATTAGTACAAAGTCATTTTCTTTATTTGTCACATTTTTTTTTAGTTTTATTCCACTATAATTGTTTCCTTATTTCCATTCACTGCAGCAGTAGTTGCAAACATTTCCTTTTGATTCGTGACATCGTTTGATGAAAGTGTGGCTGTATTTTTCTGTTTCCTGTGTTTTATCGTTTTTGTTACATTTGTGTAAATTCCACTTTGTATTTAGGACAGTAAGTCAATAACTCTTCCACTGGTTTAAGCCTGACTGTGCAAACCTCTGTCCCAAATGAATTTCAGAGTATGAGAGACTTCTTTTATCGTGTGATAGTCACAACAGAGACTTTCATTAAGCTTTTCCTTTGCTGTGTTTTTCATCTTAAGTTTATTCTGAAAATTATGTCCTGTGATCTTGTTTTATTTGTTTCTTTTTGGAAGGCTAGAAAGCCATCATGTAAAAAAGAAATAAAGATAAAAAATAATATATTTCTTATTGTTTAATTAAGAAATAAGATATAAACAATATGTTTGCATCAGTCAAGTGGACTAAATGTGTGCAAAGGGGCAGAGTACAGGGTACACCATTGGAAATTCCTTTGAGCTTTTCATTAATGCAATCCTAAAATCTGGCAGTGGAGTGTAAAACGTGACGAAATAATCAGGGTTCTCCGTTTGACTGATGGAGCAAGCGAGCCAAAGCCATATTAGTAATGTTTGATGCTTTGTTTCCTCGCCTTGCATCAGCTGGGGAGCAAACACGTGAGTCCAATGGAGCGTTTTTTATTTTGAGTGGAATTGTAGAAACCATTCAAACCAAACGGATGCCTTGTTTATGCACATGGATCTCACGTATGCAATGTGCTTTATGTGGACTCGTGACATTGTATATAAGGGCCACACATCCATCATATGCACTGAAAAAGAATAATGGATTGCAACATGCGCTTTTGTTCTTTCTTTCCTCAGATTATGCAGCGACACAATTAATCAGCTTTGCTGTGTTGCAAGATCTGCATGAGATTCGGACACAATAAGGACGGACACGAGAAGGTCACTTGTTCAGACGCAAACATAATGAGGTTTTGTGTGGCAATATATTAAATCTCTGCAAATATCTCAAGAATTTAGGCTAAAGGATTATTTTTGTGTTAATTGGTCTATGATATATCAAGAGAAATGCCTGCTTGTTTAAAGGTATTAAAAAGCATCATTAATGTGCGTCGGGTTATTTTAATCCCCAAAATCGGAGCACAGGGTCAGCAGCCCAGCAGTTGGAAGGAATTCAGTATTCATGTTAAAAACCAGGAAAGAGGATTGAACCCCAGTTCACTGGGCTACCTAGTAATTAGTAGCTTATAACAGAGGACTGTAAAACAACCACATGTTTTCAGTTTGACAGGTTTATTTTTAACAAGCATGAAATATTCATCTGAGGCAACGTTTTTTATTAAGCCAATGCTGACAATTCAGGTTTAGACATTTGAGTACATCCAGCAACTAGAATCAAAAAGCCACATGAGTTCACATTACATTTTTATTTTACAACCCAAGTCAACTGCAAATGAGCCCATACAACCATTTAGTCATTATTTATCCTGTTTTTAATACTGGGTAATGGCTGGCTGCTGTTGACGCCCTGAGAAAAGCAGCGTTAGGGTTTGTACATCCCATGAAAGGTGACCGGCATGGTGCACTCCACTTCTGCTCGGGCGATCTCAGACATGTCCTTGGCGTTGAGGATGAGGAGGTATCCTGGTCTCTGAGAGCCTGGAGCCACCACGATGGTCAGCAGCACACCTGAGGACGCAGCAACGGATTATCATGAAAACAAGTTCAACCACAGTGGGTGTCAGGTTTGAATATGTTGTGTTTATATTGCTGTTTGTCTTACCATCATCCTCATCTACCCCATCAGGAGTCTGAACAAACAGGGGCTCTGAGGGGTAGGAGTCTGGCTCTTGCCACACCCAGGTCTCCTTGGTCTTCACATTCAACTTGCAGATCTACAAGAACAAAGTCAGTTCAGGAAAAAAGGCTTGTTTGACACACTTAACCAGTTGAAGGTATTTTGTTAACTTACCCTGTCCGGTATGAAATGGTTGAGACCCAGGCCGTAGGCGTACGTGTAATTCTTTCCTCCGTACCTCTGGTAGTTAATCTGAGGGAACTCAAAAGCTACAAAAACCACATTCAAATGGTTACATAATGACAACATTTCCAGTGTATATCAAATGTAAATGTGTTCCCATGACTTAGTAAGTTAAATCTGTTGGATGTGCTTGCACCTTGGCGAGGCCCGGAGAAGAGCACCTCCGGCTCCAGCCAGATGGTCCCATCGGCGTGCATCGTCGCTGTGGCTGTGGTGTACGGCAGGCTGACGAGGTTCTTCCCCTGCTCCTCCTACACCGCGATGAGATCAAATAACATGAGACTTTACCTGTGTAGGGGGCCGTTTGTGTCCTGACGAGCAAAGACAGGAGACTCACCTTGTGGACGTCCAGGGGAATAACATATCTGCGGACCTCCGGCTGTGGCGCCATCATGGCCGCCTTCTTCACCTCTTCCCAGTTGGCTCTCAGGTTGGCCAACCAGAGGTAGTTGTAAACAAACTCGAAACTGCACAGACAATGAACAGCAATGACTCTTTTGTCAAACAAATCTGCAGAAGATGTACAGGGAAGTCTTAACGGTGCTTTAAACGGGATTGGGAGCATTTCGATTGCCTTCCATATTTCTCAACATGGCGCCGGCTGAGCAGGCGGCTTGCAGCTAGCGGTGCTAACAGCGCTAACGGTGCGAACAACGGCGAAAGTGTGGACAGCGCTAACAGTGTTCACCGGAGGGGGGACGTGGACGTGCTAAAACACTGTCGGTCGGGACAGCGTTATCAACAGTCACTCTTCTATATCTTTACTTAGCAAACAGTTAATGTGCTGAATCTCGTATATTGCACCTTTAAATTAAAGTCCAACATTTACCCTTTCCATCCACAGAGGTCAACAACAATGAAGCCTTGGTCCTCATAGGTGTTGATGTGATGGAACATGCCAATGGCCGCCCCTTTGTACTTGTGATCAATGTACTCTCCTGGTTCTTTCCTGGCAATGTGAAACAAGGTCTGTAAAACACAGAGGAGGCATCATGAGATTACTATGATAAATATCAAGGGTTAGAATCACCAAAGACAACAATGTACTGCGAGGTCTCACTCCTTGGTTCTCATTGGACTCAAAACAGTCCATGTAGTTGGAGCCACGGATGCTCCAAGCACTCAAGAATTTCAGCAGGTTGATTTTCACCGGGGTCTCCACGAAAACAAAGTAGTTGTCTGACATGCCGAAGCTGAAATTGGGAAGGAGAGAATGTCAAAACTTTGACTTTCTGTGACAACACTGATAACATATGGTGGAGTCTACACACACCTGTGCACATAGGAGGGCTTGAACCTCTCAGCACTGGGGAACTGCACCACCACCTTGGACTTCTCAATGGGATCAGACTTATCTAAGAAAAAAAAAGGCTTTTTAAAATGTTTGATTCAGCAAGTAAAAAACGAATTATGTTTTTTTCTTTTATTTTATTTGAGAGGTCACATCGATTCCTCTAACCCTGAATTTACCATTCAGCAACACATTTTTGTTAAAAAAAAGGAGCTGAGTTTAAGGAGAGTTTAACTGTTATGTGTGGTGATGCCAGCGCTGATCCAAACCTTTCTGTGTGGGTGGGATCTTGACAATGTTGTAGGCCAGCGTTGCTCCCTTCCCCATGCAGTTTCCAATGTTATACACTGTACCATCTCTCTCAATGTGAGGGTGGGCTGTCAATCCGTTAACGTTGACATAGTTACACAGGTCAACCTGCATACACAATAAAGACATTTCACTGATGGAAAAAAAAGAGTGTTTTACACCTCAAAATTCTACAGTAGATTTGCATTGATATACCTTCTTTAGCGTCTCCAAGGTGTCCATGTTTACTTTAGTGATGTAGTTGGTTTCTGTTACGGCATAGAAATCCTCACCAACAGGGTAAACGTTCACCAGGCAGTTGTCTGTGACTTCAACACCCTTGAAGTAAGAGAAAAACCTGGACACAAAAAAATGATTTCATTTTACAAAAGTAATATCATGAGCTGAAACGACGCCAACACAAGTCTGGAGTTTAAAAAAAAAAAACTGCAGATGTAGCATATTTAGCAGTTTAATGAGGAAAGACCGCCAAAGGAAAAGTATGCTAACTTTAAAGTACTCATTACCCATTTGTATTTCATGTTTTAAAGTGTTTTACGTGCAACACACCTGGAGAAAATGTTTTTGCAGGGATCGGGGTACGCAAAGGTGCCAAACTCAGTGATCACCACGCGCTTCTCTGTGATGGCTCTCACGTAGGCATCTGTTTTGATATACCTAGGAGAAGGAAAATTATTTCATCCCGAAACATTCGACACAAAAATGTTTTATTGATTCATGGACAGCCTTTTATCTTATAAAATATTGCTGATGTATGTTCGTGTGACTTGATTAGAATGGAGACCTGTGTCTGCAGGTTGATTTTACTACAAATAGCCTGAAAAATTACACAACACAACAGTATTCTTTCCTTCAGGTCTTACTTTCGGAAGTAGGTGACCTGTCCGTTCTTGAAGTCGAATTTGTGCATGAGGGCCTGGCCATCGAAGAGGTGATAGAAGGGTTCATCTCCAACCTCGAAAAGCCCAGGTCCTAAACGGAGAAGACTTCCCTTCAGAAAGGAAGGAATCCTTCCTGCAAAACACCAACATAAAAAACACAAATTCTGGGGCTTACTTTCTATGCTCTAAAAATACTCAAGTTATAAAACTGTCAAATGTTTATTTGACTGCAGTCTATTTCTGTCAGAAATTTGCAAACATACCTATGACTGTCGCTGGAAGAGGCTCAGACAGCTCCTCGCATGTCTCAAACATCTTCTTGTAGCCTCCAGCTGGGTGTTCAAATCTGTGATCAAACAGTGAAGACATCAACCAACACGGCAGCCAGGTAAACCAAATCCTTTAAGCTTAAAAAGCTGCAGACACACTGTCCGTTCAAATCACTGCGTAAAAGTCACAGGATCAAGTCAAAGAAACGTAAAATCAATATGAGATAAAAGAATAAAAAGTAAATTAAAGTTGGAACTCACCGGCTGACCATGTTTCCTTCCTGTTGTGGCACCACACAAAGCAAACTCTGGTCACTTCTGAACTGGACGTCTCTCTCCCAGTGGATTTGGGGTATTTATTTGTCTAGTCCCCTTCATGGTCACTGGAAATCTGTGCTGTAAACTTTTCTCCTGGCCAATCATCATGTCGCAGCGTGAACAACAATCCCATTGTGCCAATATCCTCTGCTGAGTGACCCAATGGCTGCCCCTAAGACACCGGATTTATGGCAGAGAATATCTATCACGCAGAATTGGCAAATGTGTTGCAATCGTGCATGTGATTATTTTTTTCAATTGTTATGCTTTAAGATATAGATAAGCTGAGTCATACTAAGTGCAGTATAGTTCCGAGTATTAATGAAACATGTGGGGTTACAAAAGAACAAGTAAACAAAGTGAATGGGGATTTTAAATTCAGTAATTCAGAATGTGTGCAATTCATAGAAACATTTTGGAATGAGACAAAATTGGAACAAAAGTACCACCACTTTATTCGAGATTAAATAATGTTTTTCTGAAATAGTAATAGCATGATGATCTATTGTGAAACACAATAACAGTGAACCTTTACAACTATTTATAGACCATCTTGTACAAAATAAGACGGTTGCACACAACACTAATTGTGTGAAATGTGGCCAGTTGTTTTTTGGTCTGAACTCAAAATGGCTTTACTTGCTTGTCTCAGTGTGGCGATAATCCAGGTGAAGGGATTATGTTTGACGTAGCCTCAAGAACAAACGCTGCATTGTTCCTTCTGGGAAAAAACACCATTAGCAGAGAGAGAGTTTTGTCAGTGACGGGGGTTGTGATGTGACTCCCCCAGCCAACACATGCAGACTGACCTACATTAGCAATATATAACATTTTTATGAAACTCTATGAATCAAAAAAAGAAAGGGTCAGTTGGTGAATATTAGTGAGAGTGACAGAGGGGTTCAGTCAGAGTTCAGTGACCCCAAACACAGCCAGGACCCAAAAATGTGGAGGAAACTCCCCAAACGATTTGAAATCAAATGACCCACTTTTGTCCACCAATTGTAACTTATAGTAGAACAAACATGCATGTTGCTGTCAGTCACTCTGGAAAACAATAATTTATACAATTTCACAAAACCATACCAACTCAAACTCCACTTTGTAGCTTGTTCTGGGGCTTTCGACTGTATCACATGGTCATCATCGTGGACGTTGATGTCACATCTTTCGAGAACACCATCCGCTGGTGAAAACTGTGATGTGGGTGAAAGCTCCAGAAAGAGAGCAAGGGAGCAAATATGAGGTGAAAATATTCTTGGCTGAGAAGTTTGGGAAATTTAGTTTGAGAGCAAAAACAACCTGCTTGAGTTGGGATTGTTTTAGTCAAACTACTATTTCCAAGGCCAAGAATGAACTTTGATAAATGTTTATTCAGAAAGGTCTACATACAACGGAGAGGTTATCAGAACAAATGTAATGAAAGGAGATATAACAATGGCTAAGACTTGCTCTCCTTTCCTCTGCTCTGTTGTTGTCCTTGTTTCTAATCCTCTATAAAGGAAAGGGAGACCTCTGTTGGTTGATTTATGGTCAAAACTTTTCAAACGTGGCATCAGTGTCGCGCAGGCTGCTGTGCAAGGCTAATATTAGATCAATAGATCAGAGGAGGCTAAACTAAATATAGTAATACACTTAAATTAACCTGCGATGTTGTTGGGAAAATATCGACGTTGCTCTCACAGTAACGCAGGTCAACTACACGCATGCGCACATCGTTCGGAGTAAACAATATGGCGGCGGTATGCTACAGCCTGTTGACGTAGTTGATAGCTAGCTCCTAGCGTCTAGTCCGCCATTTACCTCCTAAACAAGCTGCTAAAAACAACCAGCGGAGAACCGCGACTTTCATATAAGTTTAGTAGTTAACGGTGGGCTTTGCTGTTTAAACGGCTTTTAATCGTGGGAAGATGAATTACACCACGAAGGTGGTCCAGGTGACCAATGTGTCGCCGAGCACAACATCGGAGCAGATGAGAACTCTGTTCGGCTTTTTGGGAACTATCGAAGAACTGAAGTTGTTTCCACCAGAGTGAGTTGACTTATTTTGTGATATAACGTCACTGTGATGGCGGTGAAGTCACATTTTAGCTGTGTGTCTTCTCTGAACAGGGAGACTTTATTGGATGGAAACCTGACGAGGCCTAACCACGGGGCCTAGCATGCTAACCATGATTGTAGCTAGCTAACAGTTAACGTTAGCCTAATAACGTTACCTAACACCAACTCGCTATTCAACCTAACTGCCCACAACCGTTTCTTAAATTACCCTGTACGTGTAGCTTGTGATGCAGGGTCAAATAATATAGTAGAGGCTTAAATAGGGCAACGAAAAAACCGTCTCGTGTTAATTTGAGTGTTTTGGGGTTTTGTGTTCTTCTCCTCAGCAAAGGCAGAAAGTTAAATAATAAAAAGACGAAATAAAATCCTCACAATTAGTAGAGTCATGTTGGATCTATTGTTTTCTGCTGTCTCTTAATTATATAAAACAAAAGGCACGAGTTAAACCGTCTGTGTTGACTCTCCCTTACTATCATGATTTTAACTTTGTGCATATAATCTATTCATGTTTAATTATTGATTAGCTAGGATATTCATTGTTTTCTGGATTGATCGAGAAAACTCGAAATGGTGAGGTCTTCTGATAACTTGACCCAAAGACATAGAAGAGCAGCAAATTCACACATTTTAGAAACAGAATATTTCTTATTTCCCTCCATAATAGACGAGTAAATCAACATAAAACGAGTCTACATTAAATGTGATGATCTATTAAATCGACTTCAGTTCTACACAGTATCTCCTACTTTAACGCAGTACCTTAAAATGTGTCTTTCTGTCTTATAATTTTACTTACAATCATAACGTTAAGTTAGTAACGTTTTTACTGATTGTCGATCCTAGCCTTGGTTTTATGGGGAGCAGGGAAGTTGTAGTGAGATGAGGCTTTTAGTGTTTTGAGGGAGTCTGCGTTGCAACAGCTCAAACCATCCCTGATGTCCATGATATGTATTTGTTATCATTATGGCAGTATTGTGTGTGTGTGGATGCTTTTTTTTTTTGAGCGATGCACTGAATGCCTTTTCATGCCCGTGGTTATGATTGGACAACATCACATTGTCAAAAGACAGCACAAACAAAGATGCATTGTTTTGATGATTGTTTGCGATTTCATGCTGGATAGTATTAATCGTATTTGTGACTTCCTCTCAATAGTGATTCTCAGATGCCGGTGACATCGCGGGTGTGCTTTGTGAAGTTCCAGGAGCCGGAGTCCGTCGGAGTGTCTCAGCATCTGACTAACACCGTGTTTGTGGACAGAGCGCTGATTGTGGTCCCGTTCGCTGAAGGTTTGTCACGTCATTATTTCCACGTATGAGTGGTCCAGTGATTGAATGGCATGAATAGTGAAAATGTAAAAGAGTAAAAAGCATTTAATCTGGGCTTTCCCATTAGTGAATTGCACAAGTCATCTCACCCTGCTCTGTTTATATGAACTCTTTAAAGATAATTTCAATGATATTGTTTATTCCATTCCTTCCCATTGTCTATGAGAAGTTCTTCAACAGACCTCTATTGTCAGATTTTTGGTATACTGCGGTAGCACATCCCATGTCTGTTTTACCACCACGATGCAACTCTTTTGATAAACTGGAATTCATTTCTTTGGGCAAATACATATCAAGCGTCATGCATACGTCTCTGCCTAAACAATAATCGGATGTGCATGTAGAAATCGCAGTATACCCAAATCTGCTTGACAGACATTTACAGATTAGGAGTTGAACATTGCCAAGCTGTGGGCGCCGCAGTGAAGTGAAGTTGTTGAAACTCTTAACCATATGCATTTTATTTTCTCCCCCATATTGGACTATCCTCTGTTAAACTTCTCTCTGTTATTTGTGTGTGTGTGTGTATGTGTGTGTGTGTGATTTTTGTAGTGAAGAAGGCAAAAGCAGCCCCCTCGTTGATGGCTGAAAGTGGTCCTCTGCCTGCCAACAGGGGATTGTAGACATTTGCAAAGGCCAGCAAGCATTCAAGTCCCACCCGCTCTTTTTTGTGTCCTCTATTCTTTCTCTGCCTTCTCTTTCCCCTTCCTTCTGTCTAATTGATCTTTTCTAGGTGGTTTAGTTTAAGGTACAAAGCTCAGATAGCAGGGACATAGCCTGAAACGGTGCTCATTTTGCATTGTTTTGCAACACTTTTGAATGCTGCTTTGCCATTTAATGGCGAAAGAATTGTTCCTCAACGGATAAGGCTGGCAGTTATTCTTTAAGTGTTAACCATCCCATGAAAAGACTAAAAGACCATCATTGACCAACAACCATTAAAAGTACATCGAGCCACACTGCTGCACTGGGTGACATTTTTGTTCATTATGATGAGCGCAGGCATTGTAGCTTATTTTCAGTCAATGCCACTGACATATTAGTCTGCCACTGAAAATAGTCTCCAACAAATGCACTTTTTACTGCTGTATGAGAAACTTCTGTTGTTTTAGGAAGTCCTAGTCTTTTGTATACAGCATCAAATGGTATATCTGTGACCTGTTTTTAACGATTTCAGTGGTAACAAGTGAGATCATGGCTGAGAGCAGAAAGTACTGACATGAACCAAAACTGTTATATCGCCAGCCTTATCTTATGCAAATATGTCAATTAACTCTCAGAAAAAGCTTTTTAAAAAACCATTTGTTATTTGGGTTTGGTGTTAAAAGCCAATACAAAGACACTGGGTGTTAATAATTGCTTCATCACTCAATGCCCAGGCAGCTGACTCTGCACATACTTAACCAAGGAACTCTAGTCATTGATTGGTTATCGTCATTAATCGCCACGTTGTCTTACGATGCCCACCCAACATGACACTGTGTTGGTCAAATATATTCTCTTTAACAGTGGTCTTCTTTTGTTGTTGTGTTTTACAGTTCTTTTTCCTGGCTCAGCCAGTCCTGTAAACCAGGCCCTGCTGAAAATACCATCCAACAGTTTTGTCTCCTGCAGCAATTTCTCTCTCCAGTGTGCTCCTATATTTACATGTTGTCATTGTTGTGTGTCCGTATTTACGTCATGTCTTTTTGTGAAAGACTTGTTTTGGGGGTGGATTTATTGTGAGATGATTATGAGGTGTTTTTATTTGTCGCATTTAAAAAGAAAATACAATCAGTGGCAAAATGCAAATAAAGATGATGCCGTTATCTTTTGAATGGACCGGTAGCGCAGACTGACCAAACCAGTCCTCTGCCTAGGTTTGGTTGATTGAAGCAGTGGCAGGTAAGGATGCTAGAATAATGATGTACGGCAGACGCGCTACCCACCCTGAATTCTGCTATTGTCATTTAGTACATACCACTATATGCTCTGACATTTGTGTTTTTGGTAAGTAAACACTGATAGCTTGTATAGTGTTCTTGCCAAATCCCTAAAATTCTCTCTGTTGTTTGTATCTCGATTTTTCTCTGTGTGCTTTTAGTAGCGAAGCCGCCAGCGTGAGTCGCTTGTTTCAGTAAACGTCTTAATGAAAAATGAGGGCTCACCCAACTGGAGAAGCAGCTGTGCTTGCTAACGTTTGGTTCATGACTTAAAAAACACTTTCAGGTGATATACTCTTGGCAGTGTTCATTGGAGTAGTGTGATATATTCCAGCAATAGTTAAGTCACTGCAATGATTATGTTGAATTAAGGGAACTCTTCTCTGATCTGTAAGGTAACCATTTTGTTGAACCTAATTTGAGGAATTGCAGTGTGAAGACTTTTTGTTTTTGTTTCTTTGTCTTTTCCAAAGTGTCTTCTCTGTAGTTGAAGTGTGTGGAGATTCTCTTCTAATGCCGGTTTTTATTTTTCTGTAGGATCTATTCCTGATGAGGCTAAAGCTTTGTCACTGTTGGCGCCAGCAAACGCTGTAGCAGGAATTCTGCCAGGAGGAGGACTTCTCCCAACGCCCAATCCCATGTCCAATCCAGGGGTAAGACTTCCAATGCTCCACATGTGGAACAATATACTGCAGACAGTTCAATTTATGTTGCCACGTTATATTCAATTTAAACAATGGTAGTACAACACAGTTGTTTGTGGGTGATGTCTTTTGTGTGATGGTTTGGAACTGAAAACATGGCCGACCCCTTGATGATATTAATACCACTTTGAGTACATGAATGCTCAATATCTCAGCAATATGCTGGCATAACAAAAGCACCGTCATACTCATGTATGCGTCTGATTTTATTCCAGATGGGAGGAAACCCTTTCGGTGTTCCGAACATGGATGCAATGGCTGCATTTGGATTCCCAGGAGCCAATATGAATCCACAGGTGAGAGGCACTGGGAAGTAAATATTTTCCAAAACTTGTAAAGTTAAATATACAGTATGTTCGATTCTACAAACCTTTTACCATCTTCCCTCTTTTTCAGGCTGCTGACCAGCTGTTGAAGTTCATGACAGATCCAAAGTAAGTCTGAATGCCGTTTTAAACTACTGAGTAAAGGAATAAATGTGCAGATGAGTTTGTGGTAACGATGAGTCGACTAACTGATATTCTTTTGTTCAGACTGAATCCTTTGGCTGCAGGCTTGAACCTGAGTGCCAGTCTGAAGGCGGACGCTTCTAATAAGGAAATCGAAGAGGCCATGAAGAGAGTCAGAGAGGCCCAGTCGCTCATTTCTGCTGCCATTGAACCTGGAAGTAAGTGCACTAATGTTTGGAGGAAGACTTATTGTTCTAGTTTTCAGCTTTTTCCCAAAAGGTCCTTTGTATTGTTGTACCTTGACATTACTAAGAGATGGTTTCTGTCCTGCAGATAAGGAAAGCAAAAAGAAGCGTTCTCGTAGCAGGTCCAGGTCCAGGAGGAGGAGGTCCAGGTCACGTTCCAGACACAGGTGATCACTACTGTTAAGTGAAGAGTCAAGAAGAAGCTTTTTTTGTTACGAGAGTAAAGTTAAATGGAGTAAACTTGTGGTTGCAGGCGAACTAGGAGCAAATCACGGCGACGATCAAACTCCAGAAACAAGAGGCGCTCCAAAAGCCCTCGCAGGAGACACACCGACTCCAGAGACCAAAGCAGGAGATCTCCAAGCAGATCCAGGTGGGTTAGCTGCATCAGTGCATCACGCCAGTAAGAGTTAAAGATGTTGATTGGGCTGCTCTGAGATCTGAAATGTGTCCACAGAGATAGAAAGAAAGAGGACTCAGGCAGAAGAAGATCCAAAACACCACCTAAGAGCTACAGCACAGCCAGGAGATCTCACAGCGGGGACCGGTGAGTAGAGCGCAGCATCTCAAGTGATCCGGCAGAAATCAATTCAAAATACAAACTTTAGTATTGCGCGACCAAATCTTCTGTTTTCAAGTCGTCTGCTTTCTGTCCTGCTACACAGGAGACGCAAGAGAAGTCGAAGCCAGAGCCGATCCCCTCCCAAAAAGAGGACTCCATCTCCTCCTCGAAGGTTGGTGTTTCTGTGACATACCAACTAAAATCATGTTTATGGTCCAGACCAACATAAAGTAAATATCCTTTGTGTTGGTACGTCTGGGGCGTTTCATGACACGCCTGACTTTTCCTCTCCAACCGTCCACAGACACAAGAAGGAGAAGAAAAGGGACAAGGAAAGAGACAAAGACCGCAAGGGTGACAAAGACCGCAGTCGTGAGGAACGCGAGCGCTCCACCAGCAAGAAAAAGAAAAGTAAGGACAAAGAGCGGGAACGCGAGCGGGAGCGGGAGAGGAAATCAGACGGAGAGAAGGGAGACGTCAAGGTCAGTATAGTGTATTTAACACAACGTCTTCACTCTTACACACTTAACCTAAGCGTTGCTGTTTAAACTAGTCTGGGGCTCTTTTATGCGTCACACCGTCACATCCATTGGTTTTCCTTTCGTAGGTCACCAGAGATTATGATGAGGAAGAACAAGGCTATGACAGCGGGAAGGAGAGGGAGGACAGGAAGGATTCTGACGACTCTGCTTTGTCTCCTCAGTCTGTAGAAGGTAACGGCACGTCGCGGCCTGTGAAGCAGGCCAAAGTTAACGGAGCCGACGATCACCACGAAGAGGACATGGATGTCAGCGATTAGGTGGTCCGTCCCTCATTGTCCCTCCGTTTTGGTTGTAAACATGTTGCGACTCCCCCTCACCACCACCCCCCCTCCTCCCTACTGGGGTTATTCTAAAATGTGAAGTGAGCGTCAAATGTATGGATCTTTCTCACAGAAGTCATCGACTCGCTTCAAAGAACCCACACGCTCTTTTTGCCTCTACAGACGTAGTCGGTTCAAACTGGAAGTAGGCTTTACTTTCCTTGAGCTTGTGTTGTCACTTTTTCACATATTGTATCTTTTACATTTTTGTTTGGTGTCGTGGTGTTGTTTAGGCCTCCCCTCCTCGAAACAGTTAAATACATTTGTTTCTTGTTATTTGAAAGTGTTTGTTTTATCAAGGATTTCTTTTATAATAAAGCCTATTTGGAAGAAACAAGACGTTGAGAAATTGTTAATAAGCACACCAACACAAAATTAATCTGCAACTATTGCATAATGATTAATCATTAAACTGCGTTTCCTTGTCTTCAATTAGTTAACTGAAAATCTTTTGGTTTTGGAGTGTTCACTATTTTTTGTTACAGATTAAACAATCAAATTATTGGCATATACTTGAGCGGAAAAGTACATCTCATTGATTCAAAAACCATCTTAAAATATTGCCATAAATCAGAAACACAGCTCCGTGTAGTGAAATGCATGGCGGTTGACAAATTCATATCTCCCACAGTACAACATGGAATACTGTCCTTTTATTATACTTGCACAAAGTCAGTTGAAACATGATGCTGGTGCTTTATTTAAAGGGAAGTGAAGTAGGTATGGTTGCAGTACATGTAAACTGAAGCTAGAGTCAACTCAATGCAGATTATTTCCAGCAATATCAACTTTAGTTTACTCGCCTTGGATTTAAAAAGAAACGGGAGAAATATGAGCAGACTGCCATCAAGGAGAGACTTTATAAGCACAAGGTGTTCCAAAGTGTTAGTGTTAGTTTATTCCTTAATCTTAATAAATCTGCAGGTAATATGAGAAACGCTCAGAATACAGCTGACAGATGCATGTGAACCAGTAGGCCGACGCAGCCATAGCATGCCTTAAATATACTTAATATCAGTGCAGTATTAAGAACTAAACAGTTTACCTGATGTCCCATCTGGGTTCTCCACACACACACACACACACACACATACGACAATGATCCACGCACACCGAGCACAGACTTCATAAGATGACAGACACGGTGACAGCCGAGAGGTAACGTGAGCGGACCTGAAAACGCAGCAGGTCGCGTCCTGCACGGGGAAAGAAGGCGGAGATATCGAACTGTTGTGTTTCTATGCTGAACCTTCTCCCAGATGGTTAAAAACATTCTTGGAAATGTATTGCTACACAGTGTTTCACTCCTTATATATATATATAGTACATCATTTATAAATGAATATTAAGCTGTTTGAGGATTATAGCGATATTTTCTTCTTATGAATTACAGATGAGATGTACATTTACAGATGACGTTGTCAGTGCAGTTAAGGATGAGAATTGAAGATAACAGATATTAAAATAGGGATGATGATGAAGAGTCCAGGCCGTGTCTTCCGACAGCGTTCACAGGAAACAGCAGCAGCACAGAGCAGCATGTGGTACGGCTCAGGTGAACAGTGAGTACAATGAAAGCTTATCACTCATTTCACTAAGAACTGCTGATACGCATCTATACGTCAGATAGCGCTCTGTAACATCCGTTTGCATCGATTCGCTTTGGATCCATCAGCAAAAATGAACAATAACTGATCAATAAAACCAGTTTTTTTTTTTTTTTTTAAGAGAGAGAGAGAGAGAGAGAGAGAGAGAGAGAGAGAGAGAGAGAGAAAATACAGGATTCCTCTTTGTTTCACCACCTCTCAAATACAGATAAGCTCGCCGGTCACTTCCTGTTTGTGTCAGATGTGTTTACAGGTCAGAGGTCGGGGAAGCGACTGGGATCTTCTTTGTATTCGGCCGGGATGAAGAAAGTAGACTCTTCAAATACGTCGTAGCGGAATTCCTGAAAAGTGACGGTAGCCGTGATCGTGGGGAAGACGGGGATGTCTGCGAGAGAGAGAGAGAGATGAAAAGGTGTTACTCTGAGATCGCCCACTCACAGGAACGCAGCGGGAGGTCGATGCACGTACCCAGTTTGACGGGAAACCCCGGTGGAAGCTTCATCTGAACGAACTCCCGGAGTTTGTTGAAGTGCTTGAACGGGGCTATGACCTCCAGCACGTTTAGTAACCTGCAGGCAGAGGAACAGTGAGTCAGCAGTTTTATTTCACAGTCTTTTCTTTGCCAACGTTTCCCAAAAATCTGAACAAAAAGGAGATTAAGTCACAACTGCAATTTGTCTTGAGGAGAGCTGCAATAGCTTCTTAAATGTGGATATTTTCTGGTTTCTTCTACTCTATGGCTCAACTGAATATCAAAACAAGATATTTGATGATGTCATCTCAGGTTTTGTTCCACCATTTTATGTCTAAACTCCTTATAGATTAATTGAGAAAATAAAAATGCATGGTGATTAATTACATTAAAGTGAACATATGAACAGAAGTACGTACAACATAACATTACAAAGCACAGAAGGGGAGAAAATTACATTAAAAAAAACATTAGCCATCATAAAGGCTGGGGTTTTATTCCAGCTCCATTAAGGTTCATTCAGTAGAGAAGATAACGCAATTTACTACATAATGTCCCGGTAACCCATTACAGTCAAAACCCAACCCACATCCTGTGTGCATCCTACCTCCTCGTCTGCTCAGTGCAACACGCCGTATCCTTTAAAATCCCCTTATTTCCCCTCTATGAACCTCTCCTTTACATAAAAATGGGTTCTTGCAGAAACAACTTTTTCCTCTCAAGACAATCAATGGTCATTGAAAGCAGTGTTGTGATTGACACTTCCATTACCAGACTAAGAGAAAGCTTGTGCAGATGGCTAACCAGCAGCAGGAAAGATTAGTTTCAAAGTAAAAGAATTAGGTCATTTAGAAACAGCATTACAGTTTGTCCACCAGAGAGCACCGACTGGTTTTCATCTGTGAAATGTCCTGCACAGTCCATATCTTGGTCATCTTTAATAACGTTGTTGTTCAAAAATGTCAGGCAATATATTGTTATTGGCTTTTTAAACTAGATTTGTTTATCAGCCGTATAACCCTGTCAAGGCTCCAATATCTACATTTACCACCAGCTTGCACATTGAAAACACTGACATGTTGTCACATGGTGAGGCGGTTTATTCTGCAATCATCTCATCAGTGTTGTCCTGTCCCCCCCCCCCAAACAATCTGTATCTACCTGATCTGCGTTGTTTCATCTCTACATTACCCTTTTCCTAAAAATCCAAGTGTATTCATCCGGGATCAAACTGTGCAGCGAGCTTTGTACCGACGTCTGAGGAGGGAGGGATGTACTTACGACTCGATGCCTAGAGGGAAGTCCTGGCTCATGGCTACAGTAGCTTTGAAGTTCTTCTTGCTTTCTTTACACACGAGCTCTCTACCAAGATGAGGTGGCCTGAAGACAAAACACACAAAGACATTGACTTCTATTCTGGATTTAATAATCAGCATCTCTACTGAATGTCTTGCAAACGCCCGGATTGAATTTCTACTCGTGCTGGAGACGAAGACACTTACTTCCCCTGCTCTGCAGCGATGTACTCTTCCCATGAAATAGTATTGGGGTCTGGAGCTGTGAGGGACTGCCGTCTCACCGGCTGGGGACACGAGAGTATCGGTGAGTGGCATGTTCAGGCACCAGGCTACCATTACTGTTACTATTGGTGGATAAAGTCAGAACTGTGGTTTGTTCCCCTCTTACCTCAAAGTTCTGTTCACTGATGCTGCCTCCTTTACTCAAGCTCTCCATGATGGCTTTGTTCCTCAGGATGTCCTCCTCGCTCAGGTGTTCTCGCCGCTTCCGTGACTCCAGCACCAGACCGTTCACCGAGTAGAAGTCAGCCAGGAAGTTTCCGATCTTCTCCTGCACAGAAAACCAGCAGGTGTTGGCGTTTCATCACGAGTTATCCTGTGAATTAACCCAACACTACAGAGGTGCAGCCTGAGGGTAGGGCTGTTCTAACTTCTCAGAAGATCATTTATTCGCCTTCGATACCCGATCCAGCTATCCGAGTCCTTATCGGACCGATATCAGTGCAGCTATGTCTAACGTACCTTCATTTCATCGATATATTTCAGCTATGCCTCGTTTCATATTTTTGCAAATGACTTTGTAAAAGACCTACTGTGAATATTTAGTCGTTCTCTGTTGTTGTAATGTGTTTTTAGTCCTGGTTTCTCCCACAAGACGTACCGTTTTATCCTCTCTGAACAGCCAGCCGATCTGACTGCGTGAGAAGCTGATGGACTTGGTGGACAGAGTCGCCGAGTAGACGTCGCTGCTCATCAGAATATCCACCTCCTCTTCGGTCTCCATCTCGGACTCCTTGAGGGAGAGACACAAAGACGGTGAGGCGGTTCATACTTAAACAGCTGACGTGAAGCAGAGGTGTGGTCGTACCGCTCGCTCACCTCGTGGTGTATTCTTTGGTACACTTTTGCTTCATTGTCCAGAACCACGAAAGTCTGGGCGGAAGCGGCCTCGCCGTTGAAAATGAAGCTGAGATCTCCGCGCTGACACTTCATATCAGTGAAGTCTATGAGAGTGGTGTCGAGCCTAAATCGAGAGAGAGGAGAGGGAGCGTGTGACGATTGTTTCGTCCTACTTTTTAGATCTAAAAGAAGTCCTCGACCTGGATGTCGACTATTTGCTGCTTCAGAAACGCAGTGAGTTAGATTCTCTCCTGTAGGACACGTTTACCTGATGTTAAGCCCCTGCTTGTAGATTTTACAGGCATCAGACGGCAGCATCCGGGACAGCAAAGGCACTGAAATACAGAAGAGTGTGTGAATAACTCAGTTATGTTTAATACAATCCTTTAGCTGGTCTCATCAATTATCAACGTTGTAATAATTGTTGAGAGTTGGGTATGTAAACAACTTCTTGTGTGTGTGAAATATTTAAAAAAAAACTCACCCCAGCTCTGAAAGTCCCAATGCAGCTCCAGATAAAAGTCACCAAGCTACAGAAAAGACAAACACGTGTGACTGAGTGATTCATCCGATGTACAGAGAAGATTTCCCATCATGCATTTCAGCAGTTAATATGCACACTCTAGGACGGACAAAAGTCATTCATGCAAATCGAATCCTGCAGAGATTTTTGAAAATACAAATGAGTGAAATTTTCAGCGATGCAAAACTTGAGATTGTTGTGGCAGCGAGATATTGTGGAAGTGACGGCAGTGGGATCCTCACCTCCTTGAGAGCGTTCAGTAACTTTGGCCTCTTGTCCTCCACGCTCTCCCTGGATTGCTGCTTCAACTTCCGCAGAATTGCTGTGACTGAAGAAACGAGGAGAGAGAAAAACACTTTCACTGTCTCTCCATCACCTTTAAATGAAGCTAAACAAGGTGCACAACTTGTACCTCCCATTGGTCTGACTGGAATATTGATACGATTGGTCGACCGCTCTTATCACAGACATATTGATATCATGAAGTGCATCTCCTTCTCTTACAACTCAACATATGATGCATCCTGGTAATCCCGACCAGAGGAAACATCGGACGTGACTGAGCGGAGAAGTGCTGACGAGGCGTTCGCTGCAGCTCGTCGCCGCACACATAGACAATACAGCGAGCTGCTGACGCAACGTGCACATGTGTAAACGCGGAAAACAAAGTGATGACCGATGACAGGACTGCAGTGTTTCGTGAAAGAGCTGTGAGCCAAACGTTTGATATCGAGCACGACTTGTCCGTGGCACTAAGCGATAGTCAGCTGTGAGATGCCTTTTATTTACCCAGAGATCTAAACACCTCGTGCCGTGTCTTTCTTTCTGTGTCCTTGCTTGGCGGTGTGAGTGTACCCCCCCCCCCTCCCCCTTGTGAGTGGGGTGACCTTCTCAGAGCAGAGCTCCTGGTCCCAGACCCAAGCCAGCCGGCCACAGCAGGAGCGGAGACTCACGACGCATACTAACCAGGCTGAGGGTCTCACAACCTCCAGCACAGGAGGCCGATAGCTCACAGTTAGCTTATCTCTACAGCCAAACAGTAATAACAGAAGTATGTCAGCTCAGCTTTGTCACAAAAACAGATTAAAGATTTAGTCCTTTTTTCTTAGACACTCGTCTGGCCTTTATAGTTTCTATTGTCTTTAGTTAAGTATACAAAATGAACATCACATGTAAAAAAGGAAAGAGCAGTGGATTCATCCCAAAGGCATTAGCTGGTGCCTTTCACATGTCATTTGACTCTCAGATCTAAAAGCAGTGGCATCATTAAGCAGAGGAGCGGCCGGGCAGTAAGCTCAGCGCTTCCCAACACTAAGCCGTCATCCCGGCTGCGTTCCAGCACATCTGGATGACGAGTGCTCAGAGAAAATCCACACTTTTAGCTTTTTAGCCGGACCGACCGACCGGGTGGCCGTCTTTAAACAATTCTAAATGACTCGTAAAAAGGTCCTTTAAATGTTCAGACCTCCAACAGTATTCAGCCCCCTTTGCCTTTTCACACCATTAACGTGTCAAAAAAAAGGAAGATGAATGAATGAAATTGGACTTTGTCAATGATGTACACATTGTTAGGCATAATATGGAAGTGGTACTGTTGAGGGTTTATCAGTTAAAAATCTAAATGTTGTCATTCTTTCTTATGCCAACTTCAGATGTTCTCTGCCTGGATTTGAACTGTAGGCAACAACACTGATTTCATCCCCCACATGACTGCACAGAGGTAACCGAACAGACTCTAAACTACACCGCCGCAAAATCTTTCTGCAAAGCACCGACTCTGGAACATTAAAATTAGTATTTTCTCAACTATGAGAAATAATAAAATCACTGTTTCCCCTCTTCATTTGGAAAATACATTCAGCCAAATCCAATTCTTCCTGAACACACCACCACCACCACCACACTGACATTTACCACCACTGCTACAATATTATCATTCATACAGAGAGCTGTTCCAGAAGTCCCCCCGCCCCGAGACAGCAGACGGCTATTCAGAGCAGTGTTGACTGAACTTACTCATTTGCCTGTCGCCGTAGCTGATGGCCTCTGCTAGAGGGCTCCATCCCTGGGCATTCTTTATCTTTACGGGAGCGTTATGGGCCAGTAGGAGGAGGGCACACTCTGAAAGAAAGAACGGTTATCGGAGACAAATGGGATTTTGTCTGTTTGTTGTCACCAGTTTTCTTTCCGTGTTGTTTTGAGCAGCCATGCCAAATGTTAAGATTTTAATATTCAGGTCAGCATCAACAGTAGTACCACCACCTACCACTACTTCTGTACTGGAGGTGAGATATTTCCTCTGTTCCACTATTATTGCTCACGTTTTTTTGCTTTGTCAGTATCCAAATTGCTTATTGTCTTAGGATAGAGGGTGTCACATATTGTACAGATTGTAAAACCCTAATTTGTGATTATGGCCTGTATAATTAACTGCATAATCCTTTGTTATACGAACAGTATTGTAGAATATCAACCAACCAGGACGGTGAGTGGTCAGATAAGACGTGATGAGTGCAGCATCAGTATGAGGGCGAGGAAGAGCTGAAGTGATATTAAAAAGGGCCTTTAATGAGGGTGTCAAGTGCTCTCTCAGTAAAGCCTCATTATCACAGATCAAAGGCCATGCACAGCAGATTTAGTGTCATTTTCTGGGTAGACGGGTAGATTACCAGACGAGACGCTTTTTTGTTCATTTTGGTAAATCCTCTGTATGACAATAGGGTGTTTTTGATTTAAAATATATATTATATTTCTTTAAATCAGTTTTACCTTTGTGGCCCATCATCACAGCCAGGTGAAGTGGCGTGTTACCTGAAAGAGAAACACATTAAGATGATATATTAACATAAATAATTCCACATGTGACAAGAGAGGCCTGTTGTGTAATGCATTTAAAACAAATTACTGAAAAGAAGCAAATCAGGTAACAGCAGAAAACAGCTCACCGTGTACATCTTTCTGAGAGATGCTGTGGGTCCTGATGAGAGAGGAGAGCCGACGCACATCTCCTTTAAACACGCACTCGTGAACAGGGAACTCCAGGTCCTCACTCGTCAGGATTATTGGGTTCTTGTTGTCGTCGGTATTGTTGACAATGGTGTCAATGGGCGAGGGATTCCCGTTGATGTTGTTTTCATTGTGCTGCTGTGCTGAGGTTTTGACAGCTTTCTGATACACCTTGTTGGATTTGAAGTGGTTCCCGGTCCCGTTAGGGATGGTCCCGTTAGAGGACTCCTCGCACGTGTCCATTATCTCCTCATTCTTGTTTGGTTTGTTGTGGTCCTTTCGAAGGGTGCGTATCTTCTCACCCGTCATGACGACGACCGTAACGTTATCTAAATAACGTTATTGCGCTAACTTACACTCTGGTGTAAGATGTTGCATAAATCGGAATCAAATTAGATTTTTAAAATAAGCTTCTTAAGGAATTTAAAGACAACAGTGATGGTTTCCAGTAGCTAGTTGGTTGCTCTCCGTTATTCAAATAACGTTACACCTGCTGCCCCACAGTTAGCTTAGCTTAAAGCTAGCTAGCCCACAATAAAAATAATGAGTATGGAGGGTGCGGCGATGAAATCAGAAAATAATGCTAAACATCACAGAACACACACACACGCACGCGCTAAATCAACACACAGATAAGAATTAAAACGAATGACAGACTACATCGTTGTCGCTCCTTTGATTTACGCTGTACGGGATCGATTCCGTTTGCTTTGCGGCAAAATTCAGGCGGACGACTGGACGGTACAATAAACCCTCTGAGCTAACGGCAAATCTCGCGATAGTTCTTCAACGCACAGTTTGAACGCGAGTTCGCAGCCCGTCTACGTCATCTTCTTGAGACGCGTTTTGTACTTCATCGCAATAAAGTAGCTAAGCTAAGCTAGCAAGCTGCGTCGTTGTCAAGAATGGCATCCTCAAAGAAGGGGAAGAAAATAGTGAACCAGGAGGAACTCCGGCGCATGATGAGGGCAAAGCAAAGACAAACAACGGACAAGAAGCGCGTGGAGTCTCCTTTTGCTAAATACAACAGTCTCGAGCACCTCAGCTGTGTGCTGTGCAATGTGCACGTTAAGTCCGAGCTACTGTGGCCGGCGCATGTTCTCGGAAAACAGCATAAAGAGAAAGTTGCCGAGCTGAAGGGAGGAAAGATTCAACCAGTGACACCACACATTCAACCGGTGAAGAGGAAAGCAAAGGACAACGTGGACGCGAACGGGAAAAGAGTGAAGCCCTCGTCGGGTGCGGGTCAGTCTGCTTCGTCTTCAGGGCTTCCGGGAGATTTCTTTGAGAAACCCAACAAAAAGGGAACTGTTTCTACTGAAACGTCCGCCAGTCTGAGTCTGTTGGCTGGAGTTTATGATGATGGCGACGATGATGAGAAAGATGCGGAGATGGAAGGTCCCGCAGGAGCCACAGACCCCGCTCCTCAAGAGACTGAAGCTGGAGGACTACCCGATGACTTCTTTGACAGCTCCATCCCGTCCACGCCCGCCATCTCTCACTCGGGATCCATCCTGAAAGCGGACCTGCAGGAGAAGAGCGCGGAGAAGAAGGACAACACCGCCGAGGCCCTGCCGGAGGGCTTCTTCGACGACCCCGTGAGAGACGCCAAAGTGCGCAACGTCGACGCGCCCAAAGATCACATGGACAAGGAGTGGGACGAGTTTCAGAAGGTGATACGACAGGTGAACACCAAGTCAGAAGCCATCGTGGCGGAGGACGACGAGGAGGGCCGCCTCGAGCGACAGATTGACGAGATAGATGAACAAATCGAGTGTTACAGGCGTGTCGAAGTACTGAGAGACAAGCGGGACGTGGTGAAGAGCAAGGTGCTGCCCAGCGAGGAGGAACACATGGAGGTAGATGGCAGCGATGAGGAAGAGGATGAAGAGCAGCTGCTGGGGCTTCTGTCCCACGACTGGAGGGCTAAAGGGGCTCTGGCCTGAGTCTCTCTAAAGCTCACATAGAAGCCACGTGTGTGTGTTTTGGTCTGTCAGCTGTTGTAAATATGTTTAACGCCTCTTCACATATTTTGTTATATTTCAGACTGGATTAAATGAGTTTGGACAAAGGTTTCTCACTTCATGACTTAAAGAAACCACAAATCAAACCTTTTTAACTTTGTTTATTCATTGGTGCTCACACAAAAAAACACATTCATAGAATTTCCCCCAAAGTACAGCAGCAGCAGCAGCATGGACCTTATTCCACGTCACGATGGCCAAAGCTGTTACATTGTCCTGCAAAAACTGTTAACTTTATATAAATAATGTGTTCATGTTACGTTATAAGCAACATGCAAATTACAACGCAATTATTTAAAAAATTTACAATGGTAAGATTAAGACCGTAAAGATTTTTTTTTACCACCCCCCCCCCCCCCCCCCCCCCCCCTTCACAAGATACTTTCTGAGAATACATTTAAACCATTTTTACAGAGTACAACAATGTTTGAGTATGACAAATCTGTTATGTAAATACACCATTATTAAGCCCATTATTAAAAATGGAATAAAATAAATCAAGTGGAGATTGATGGTCAGTGCTTCTTGTACTACCTGTTACACATCGTTTGTCTACTGCAATTCTAAACAAGTAATACCTACGTCATTTTGTTATTGCTACATATGCCTCATGAGTTACATCTTCAAAACCCTCACAATGATTCAAAGTGTTCATAGCCCTTCAAAACGTGTAGAACGGAAAGCTGCAAAAAGCTAAAATGTACAGAAACCAAACAATCAGAATGTAGCAACTAACTGAAAATAAGAGAGAAACACTGAGCAGAAAGAAATCTGAAACGTCAGCCGAGAGAAGAGCTGATAGAAATCCTCACTCTTTATGCTCAATTATGTGTTTCAGTTAAGTTAGGAGTCTGACTAAAAACAAACCACTCACAAAAAACTGTTTCTAGTAATAATTTGTAAACGTTCCTAAAATTCTATCTCAGGTTCTATAAATACAGTTCATGGAGTTGTTCCAGATGTTGATGGCTGGGGAACGAGACATTTAGCCTCCAGAGAAGCTAAATACACAAACATGTGACATCAAGATGTGACAAACTGGAAACAAAATAGAACAAAATTCAATAAAATGTGCAGGAAAAACAGCAAGTCTGAGAACTGAGGGTGGAAAATGGGATTCAAAATAATTCACACTTCCCACGGTTTATTTCATGTAAACCACGGAATGAGCTAAAATAAGAGCGGACTATTCTGCACACAGGTTGAATTGGATGAATTTAAAAATTTGAAGCGCATGTTTTGTGGATGATGTGTTGAAATAGACCGAGGAGGAGGAGGAGGGGGGTTGAGTGAGTGAGTATGGGGCATGCCAGCGCCACTGTTCCACAATCGGTATGATAAATACTCGGTTCACAAAAGTGCAGCAATTACAGAAAACGGGTCGGGAACTTCAAACTCCCAGAACCCCGCTGGGTGTTCAAAGACTGTTCACTGCCGTCAGTGACGGTCTGCTCACAAACCCACAGCAGCTCCCAGCTCCATCAGGGAGAACCTCTGGTCTCCGTCTTTGTCGAAACATTCCATGGTGCGAGCGTTGGGATGCGGCTTTTTAAACACTCTCCTCAGGCCGCGGTAGTCCAATCCGGGAGAGTCGCGTCCAACACCTTCCTGCTGGAAGATGTCCTCCAAGTCTGAAAAGAAAAGTTTTATTTAGAAACATGCAAAACCCGGTTCGTCTATGAGGGCAATGCTCTCGAAATGCCTTGCATTCACTGGAAGACGACAGCTGTTTCGATGTCGGCAAGGAAGCAAATATATGTATTTTCCCAATGTTACACTGTTCCTTTAATGAATGCTGACACATAAAACGGGATCGGTAATGTGCACCTTTCAGAGAACTGACTCCAGGCAGGAACACCCTCTTCGGGCATGCCGTCTCAGCGTTTCTCTTAGAGCGGTTTGGTGTTACGAAGCGTGGGCGTCTGCTTGTCTGAGGTTCTGTCAGTGGTGTGGATACCTCTGTGAGAATAAAGCAGAAAAATCATATTTAAATGGGACACGGGGCAAAGAAACACGCCGTCATAAAGTGCTTTATCGCACACTCTACCTTGCACATCCCCCGGTGTTGCTTTGGTTGTACTCGCTTCTTTCGCCGCATCGGTTGCTGGACTTTCACTGGTGATTCCTGCTGCGTCATCGTTCTTTGACTGTGAAGCAGATGAAGAGATGAAATGTAAAAATGCGTTAAGTGATTCCCAGCCGTGGCTACCTGTAATACAGCGTGAAGCGGCACATGACTCACGCTTCTCTTTGAGTCGTTCTCTAATGACGACACTCTCTGCTGGAGTTCTGCCACCGTAGAGAGGAGGACGTGGACGTGCTCGTCAGTCTGTGTGTGACGCAGCTCCTCTGTCTTGTTCGCCTCACTCGCAGCTTTCCTCAGCTCTGTGATGTCCTGTGAAAGAAAACAAGCAATCCATGTAAAGCAACCTGCAGTTTACTGTTCGATGAGATTTGACTTGTAGGCATCCAATCAGTCCAAAGTTACAGGACTACGGAGATCTCAGCCAGCGAGTAATTCATCACATTATTTGCCGTTCCTCTCTTTGACATCCTGCAGATGTCTCAGATATTTGACCTAGTTTCACGCAGCGAACTAAAGCATTCCAGCTCCCAAAATAGATTGGCACTTGTTTCATGAATTATGAATGAAAAGCCAACGCATGGATCCATGAAGTGACGGGACCTTCTTAACCCGACGGCTCCGTCAATGTGAGCCTGACGAGAAGTGCAGAAACATTCAGTAACGTGAGGGGAAACGAATAGACTAATGAATCGAGCAGCGGCTTCTGGTTTGTGTTCGTGCCGCAGTTGAGAGGCTCAGCCAACATTTATTTCATCAACACAATCATTTTGGCCATATTTAAGTGAATTTGTCTCAATTCTGAGTGTAACAAATATGCAGACGCAACACTACAGCTAGGAACTGAGGAGTGGGACGTTAGCACGCCATGTTAGTCAACCTTTTCACTTGAGCAAAATGTACCGTTAGCTCATGTTATAAACACCGCTCAACATACGTTCACGCATTAATAATAAATGAGAAAAAAGGCCTCCAGCCATATTTGCAGGGAGCGTAGCGATGTAAATAAATAAAGACATGCCAGCAAACAAAATAAGTGAAATATAACTTTGACTCATGAAACATCTTTGGAGAAAAGCGCTTGCAGTCGTGTACTCTATTTAAAAGGAACACAGCTTCAGGTTCCTCTGTGATGATCGCCATCTGCCCAAAACACTGCCCTGACATCTTAACTCTTTAACGTACAGTTTGAAAGGTAAAGCGATTCTCTTTGACGAGTCTGCTTCTCATTGCAAACATTCATCATCCCCGTTAATGTGAGACAACAGTGTTGATTCATTCCGAGATAAAAATAGATGATTGAATGTACTTACAAAATAAAAGTCAATATATAACAAACAAATGTGGAACTTGTGCAAGTGAAAGCCTACACAATAATCCCAACGTAAGCATGGAAGAGATGTTTAGGTTTGAAAACTCTGACAGACTATTAAATCGGACCAAATCAGCTGTAAAAACAAGTGTTGAGTTTACCATTGTCTTCTTCAACTCTTCCTCTTTCTTCTGGTTTTCGAGCGCAGCCTGCATAGTCTTCACATCGTGCTGCACACTTGTCAGTGTGCTGCCAATAGTAGCAACACTCTGGAAGAGAAAAACACGTTTTGAATGCACAACAATCACAACAACAAATATCAAAAGATTCTCCACCACATTTCTCCTTTTATTCCATTCGGCTGCGTCTTTACCTTTTGAAGCTCTTCCACTGTCGTGGGGAGGCTGACCAAGTCAGCGGCTGACTTCAAGTTGGTCTTTAAATGGTTCACTGCAGAATCCAGCAAACTGATCTGCAGGAGGGAAACGACACAGAATATTCAGTTACACCTCTTACAACAGAATCAGCATTCTACTTAGCTACTTCCAAAGAAAACTTGTGCAGCATTAACGTTAATTAAAGTACGGCCAACTGCTGCAAGTCTAGATGTTCTCCACCACTTTGTCATGAGCTCTGGAGTGTGTGTGTGTGTGTGTGTGTGACAATATGAATGCTATGGTAGCTTCAAACCAACTGACCTTTCTGTTCATTTCTGTGAGGTTCGACCAGAGCTTGCTCAACCCCTTGTCCCCGTTTTCAATGTCCTCGAGCTTCCTGTCCTTGTTTTTCAGGTCCTCACTTAGTTTTGGTATTTCACTCGATGACACCTTCTGACTGGATTCCACTGTGATGAAAAGCATTACAGTAAGTTAAAAAGCAGCGATAAAGACCAAGGAACGCACGAGCAACGGGGATATAAAATGTTTAAGTGTTGGTGCAGTCAGTTTTTTATGACCCGTCACAAGGTAACTGTGTGTGAAGGTGAGTCTTACTGCTATGCAGCTTTTCTTTCAGTGAGTCCAGATCTTCTTTCAGCGCAATCTGCATCCATATGAGTCCAGCACAGGCCATGACGCAGGCGGCCAGTACGATGAACAGAAACAAGGGGTAGCACACGGTGCAGCACTGCGTGTAGCTTCTTCTGTGAAGAGAAGCGACAAGGTAATGTTAGACATTACATCTGCAGCCGCCTTCATTATTAATGAAGGAGGTATTTTAAGAAGACTGCGTTCTGTGTCGTGGGAATTATGAGGATCACTGGTAAATAATGGTGTCTTATTATGTATATACTGGTGGAATATATCATATCAATAATCATGCTGAACGTAGTGTTGATTATTTCTGTATTTGGCTGATATCAAGCTTCACAAATAAAAAGGCTGAACAAGTTCTTCGTGTGCAGGAAGTGTCATTCGACTCTGAAAAACAAAATTCAAGATGAACGACTTTATTGTAATTCTTCAGCACATTAATGACGTCAATGAGTAAAAACACACCCCTTCGTACCTCTAAGAGCACAACAAACGTCTTTAAACTGATCACCACTCACTTCACAGTGCTCGCGCTGCTGCTCATGTTGTTGAACTGGTCGTCGTCCGAGCTGGACTCGGACTCGGAGTCCGGCGGCTCGGTGCGGAGGAGCCGGTGACCTGTCCCCTTCTTGGTCTTCTTCCTCTTGCTGTCTCCGAGTCCGATCAAGGCGTTCAGCTCCTTCCGCTTCTTCATCTTCTTCTGAGGGGTCAGCGAACCCGCCGAGCCCGATTTAAACCCCACAAATTCCAAAGTTTTGTCCAGTTTGGTGGATGTTGTCGTTTATTGTAGCAGCTAAGCTAACTCAGTGTTCTTTGGCTAGCTTTAATTTTAAACCACGCAACGTTGCCAACAAACACATCGGACTTTGTCAGTTGGTTGTTCAACAGCTGATTGGCATCACGTTACCGTCTCAAAAAGCTTATGAAAAACAACTTTTTATACCAGTTGATGGGTTGTCACACGGGTTAGGTAACTCGATTAGCATCTGATTGCTAACGGTAGCTAACACGGACTGACTATCGTTACTGTGCTGTCCGGAAGTATCACATCGTCTCAGTGAGGTTTTAAAATACCTCAACGTCGCTCGATTTGAAAAACACTACTTGAAGTATTACAGTAGATTAATAAAATCCGTCTATCGTAAAATCATAATATGCGGCAGTGTGTTTCCAGAAATCTGTCCTGCTGCCTGTATTGTTTGGGCGGGGCGTCCGAGTAACCTCTCAGCTGATTGGTGCAGCGGGCAGCTACAACTTCCGGTTCTCTGTGCCGTCAAGGTAGCGACACAGAGCGCGACACCACCAGCCCCCGACAGACCGTGCACATCGATGCTGAAAGTCAAGAGCAATTTAAGTAAGTCGAATTAGCAAAAAGCAGAAAATTGGATATGAATATATTAGTGGAAATGTTCTTAACTAGCTAAAGACAATGAGAAGGGCTCCTGGTGTGCAACTTGTAAAAATAGTTACTCATGTTATGTGAAACAATGCGATAAAAGCTGTATATTAACTTGGCCATGCTTGTTAAAAATCGGTCTGGTGCCCAATAGCTAGTTCCAAGCTATAGTCGGTACCCATGTCAATTTTTATCTTATGTCCCCTTTGAAAGTGAATTTATTTGACTTTCATTTCCCTTTTTTGGGGGGTCTCACACTTCTTTATAGTGTGTTTTACATTTTTGAACTAAGCTGTTCTTCTGCTAATTAGAACAGCAAGGTGAATCATGAGGCTTTAATTTAAAAGTCGAGTTAAATGGTCTCAAAGAAAAGTAGGTTATGTCATCTTTACCTTTTTAAATCAGAGAAAAAAGCAGCAAGTGATCTCTTTTGAAAATGTTTGGCATTCTTCCCTGATAAACAAAACAAACGAATGAATAAATGATCAAAATCGCTGTAATGTTTTGTGCATTGATGATTTGACAGATTTTTTGTAGCTCTAGTTTGCATATTTGTAGCTTGCGTATTGTTCTGTCTACATGTTATCCCTTCAGGTCATTTTTGTGTCTGTGTGTTTTACATAATATTTTCATGAAAGCACCACATTCTACGAAACAGGATTTCATTTTTTTTGTTTCGATTCTGCTCCTCCAGCGGGGGTCCGGCTGACCCCGGAGCGCTATTGGGCCGACCCAGCAAGACACATGGACTGAGTGGAGGCAGGCTCTCTGCAGACTGGCCTTTAGCTCTTTCTCATTGAAGACAGACTCCCACTGGCCTGCTGTTGGCTTTGAAAATATGTTCCTTTATGTGCCCGGCCGCCCCATACTACTGCAGCACAATACTATTAATAATCACACTGAATGGGAATCTCCACACTGGACCAGTTTACTAGCTCACAAAGGAACCGGGATGCTCCTCAGCATCTCAGTATGAATTTGGTTATTGAGTTGCAAGAGACGAGGACCTACTGCTGATGTTTTATTATCTTCAGAAAAGACTTTCCCAAGCCAATGCTTGTCATTTCACAATAATAGCACGATGCCACCCACACAACTATACAAAGCTGATATTGTAATAGTCAGGCGGATGGGTGCATTAAACTGGGAGGCAGCTGCACCGTATTGTTTTGAACGCATTTACGATGTGTAGGTAGCAGAGCGAAATCCAATGAGAGGCCGGTCTTCACTGAGAACACCTGGTGAGGTGGACAAGCATCCCGCTGAGGGCCCGTGAAAACCCCCACCAGCATGAGGCCACGAATCAAAGCATCAGATGTGTTTCATCTCTCCACTGGAGTCTCTGCTTTTCATCCCGGGTTAAGACTGAAAGGACGACACTTCAACTCCTGGCTCCTCACATCTTCAGCGCACGAGGTAGGGAGCGTCAGGCGTTAGAAGCCAACCACTGATTCCTACAAAACACTTGTTTTCACACTTTGTTCACAGCGGGACTCCTCACATCCTCCCCAGGAGTGATTTCTGTAACCGTCGGACGGGGAGCCGTCTCGGGTGCTTTCAGAGGATGTAGATAGCGGTGGCATGACAGGAAGTGCTGAATAGAATTGACTGCTAATTGAAGGCTTTCATCTGACACGGCAGGCCGTGTGAATACAGATCATCATCAGTTGGAGGTGGGGACGCGCTTAGAATAACAATTTCTCTCATTTAAAATTTTTGAAAATATTTAAACCATTATGTTGGATGGCTCTACTAGTACAAGAACGTTTCATCATGAAGCTGGCAGATGACATGGAACGGTATAGTTTTTTAAAACGCTGACACATGCTTGAACTTATGAACTTCATCTCTTCATCGCTTTTTTTATTTGCTTAGCTTTCGTTGCTTATTGTTATTAAAGGCTCGCAAAACACATTTTGGTAATCACTTTCTTGCTCTGAGGAATGGGGTCGCATGCACACGAACACACAGATTTATGCCAAAGTTAGAACCGTTATAAAGAGCCGAAGTCATGACATCACATGTGGGCAAACCTGTGTTCCTCTAGCTTCTGTCTAGGTCTATTGTCCATATTCTATGACAAAATGCCATCAACTAAAGCCGTTGCTAAAAGAAATTGACACCTTTTGTGATTTTGAGTTAAACAACATTTGCTTTGTGATCACAGCAGAAACTACAGCTCCCATGACAAAAAAAACTACAAGTGCAGCAGTGCAGGTATTCTTGCTTCATCGGTTTCATCTGTGTCCATGAAAGTCATCCTCTTCTACGCTCATTTTTCTACTTTCTTGTTTATCCGGTCTGAGCAGCTTCGGCCCATGAACTGTCTACTGTCGGGCCGTGACAAACCTCTCGGGCTTTTGGGTAATGGTGTTTGTTAAATGATGCTGAAAAGCATATCTACACCTTTTAAAGACATTCAGGTAACTATCATGCAAGACAAGCTTCAACAAGGTAACATTTGGCATTTTTGTTTCGCGTTCTTGACGACCTCAAAAACAGTTGACCAATTTTCCAGGCATTGAAAACGCATTAAAATGAGAGGAAAAGTAAAATGTCTTGGAAAGTCTTGTGTTGTCCTGGAAGAATTATTTCAACATTCTCATATTTCCCTTTAGCTGAGAATGAACTATAGTCTATCAGTCAAACGTCTGTAGCTCAGCATTTTTACAAACCCTTGAACAGCAGTTATTTAAATTATTGAGTCCTAAAAGTTGTAAAATGCACTTATAGCTTAATCCAGAGTTATTTTCCTTCCTTCATGTGAATGAGCCCGACAACGAGGCTGCTGGGAGGTTAGTGATGCGAAAGACTGCCGGGAGTTCTGGGTATTTTCATCTGAATTTGACTCATTTGAGCAAGTTTAATGAATTAATGAAATCTATGTCAATTCAGAAAAGAAAAGGCAGATTTCTGAAGATAATGAGATGATTGATCCCGAAGAGATGCCTCGTTTTCTACAGATCACGTGATAATTAAGGTTCATCGGCGCTGTAGCCACTTCTCTTTGTACGCTGACGAATTTCTCCAAAACATGTGATTGTTGCATATTTAGTCATGAATATTTAAAGAATCATTGTGTAGCATTCAAATCAATATGATAATAATAGGCGTGTTTTCACAGAGTGAGTTGTTCGTATCCACATACGGAGCCGGTTGCCGTCATGGAGCCGGCCGCCATTTTTCTAAAGAATCCCAGAACGGACAAACCGAACACCGACTCAACCGCGCTCCTTTTGCGTCGGTAGTTCTCCTCCACGCTTCACACGCGGGACAAATGTCAATTTGTTGCAATCTGCACCCTCACTGCTAGATGTCGCCAAACAGCACACACTGCACCTTTAACGCCACAGAGACATATCTCAGATGTCCGGAGCCTTTAATGCTGCAGTGAGAATAAGGATGCACTAAATCAATTAGTAGGTTTTTTTTATTATGTCATGAATATGTATTTAGGATATGAGTGAATATTTCCTCTCAAACTTCATATTCTGTTTGATTTCTTTGGTGTTCAGAGAGCCCAGTCCCATGTCAGCAGCATGTCCACGACACATCTGCTGCTGCAGATGAAACCCACATGACAAACGACTACAGAGCTGTGACACGAGAGTAGAGTGAAGAGTGATCGCTCTGCAGCATCTCAGTGACCCCCATCCCGCATGTGTCCTGTCAGTCACTGGCTGCTGGAGGCCTCTGAACGAGTACAAAAGGGAATCAGCAGGGGGCAATGTTCTCTCATCAAACAATCCAACACTTGATTCGAGTACAGAGGAGCTCAGAGTCGCCGGCTCGGCTCTGGCTAATGGCTGTAATGCAAGCGTCTTTCACTATGCAGCGCGGCGGTCATCATTGATAATTCCTGCGCCGTGATATCGACTGCAGCATCCTGTGCAGAGCTCTTGAGATTGTAAAGGGCTTGTACACCTAAATATTTTACACACTGCCCGACTCAACATCAGCCACGCACACACACACACAGTCAGCTGTGTTTCGGGAGCAAAACAAAATGCATTTGAGATCATGTAACCATTAATAATTAACCCAATTGTTACATCCTGGTTGCCTGTGGAAATATTTTCAGTGTAAAAAGAAAAGAGGGAGCAGGGAGACGACAGTTTGACGACTGCTACTTTGGTTGTAACTCTCTGTGTCTGGAAGTGTCGCTTAAATGCCTTAAAAAGCTAAAGAACAGCAGACGGGCGACATCATGATGGAGCGAATCATTCTCGGTCTTCTGTGCCAGAAATCACACTTAACTGGAGAGGCCGCCACCGCAGTGATACAGCAAAGGTCTGGTATCGTTTAAAATAGATAAAAGGGAATAGATTAATATATTAAGCAAATTAAAAGGAGACAGGGAGAGAGAGAGCTCTTTGATTGAATTCTGTTGAAAGTTCAAACCTTACAGTATGCGCAGTAAATTAGTTTGTTGTTTATCGTGAATCCTTTTTCCCCCCAAATCACTCGAAGCGTGTTCCTGCAGCTCAGCATGGAGGCTTGTATGACCCATCTCTGTGCTGTTAATAAAGCCCTCGTGCTGATCGCTCTCCCGTATTGTGTAAGGCAGCTGGAGTACAAGACAGAAATATCAGACGTTTTAAATTCAATGAGATTTAAGGATTGGTTTCACCAGACAGACAGTCAAAGTTCTCTTTTTCAGTGTATTAGACCAGGATTAGTTTAATCCTTGTCTGTGAAATAGTCCCTTCATTTTCCTGGTAATGTCTTCAGTGCACCAGGTATCTTCTTCTTCTTTGGTTTCTCACTTATTTGCAGAGAAGAGGAAAAAAAGAGACGATTCAAATCCATATAATCACATTCTTTTCAGTTTTTGAAATGGTTTCAAGCAAGTTCACTGATTTGCAGCGTAGTCAAGAGAGGGCAGTGGAAGAGTGAAACGCAACAGGAGAAGAATCAAGGAGGCGAACCGAGGAGGAGGGGGAGGAGGAGGAGGACATGTTGACATGTAAAGGAAATCAGGAAACAGACAACAGGCCAGAGGAGGTGTGGAGCGTCTGAAGGGGGGAAATTCATTAGAGTTTTGCAGATTTGATTAAAAACTGTTTATGTGAGTGATTAAAGCGTGACGCGGAGGGAATGGATTTTATCGACATCTACAGATCGAATCTCATAGACGACGAGATCGATGCTTATTTTTCCACGACGGTTTCAATAAGGTGGAACGGGATTTTGCTGATATTGCACCTGTTTTTCCAAGGAAGCCCCCAGAGTGCACGGCGGGGGTAAATTGTGGCAAACACGGCTCTGGCCTAGATCCCTCTCACACGGCGGCTATTTCATTAAGTACATCCAGCTCGCAGCAGAGCGGGCTGCTGACGCTCCTCTGTGAGGAGAGCTGATGGGTTCTGTGCTCTACAACAGCCTCTGTTACCAGAGATGGATATTATGGAGTTTGTTCTTCACACCTCATATCTTCTTGCTTATTCAAATCTTTTTTCTAGAGTTTTCTTCAAACTACTATTAATGGCTTACAGGTACATCTTTCCGTTACACACCGAGTGCTTTAAAAATACAAAAATACATCTCGGAGGCAAATACAGAGAGTTGTTTTTTCCCTCAAAGTGACATCCTATCCCACACACTGTAATTTGTAAGTTGTATTGGCAGTTGCATAAACTGGAGTGTGTGTGTGTGTGTGTGTGTGTGTGTGTGTGTGTGTGTGTGTGTGGCTGGCAGGCAGCGGTCTTTCTGAGTTGTTTAAAAGCGAGTTTAACATTTCAGTGGTGGCAGACGTACTGCAATCTTTTATTTAGGTAAAAATAACAACTCGACCATGTATAAATACTCTGTTACTCTGTTAAGTAAAAGTCCTGCATTCAAAATGCTACTTAAGTAAAAGTGCAGAAGTATTAACGTAGAAAAATAAGTTGTTATACGCAGAATGACCCCTGTCTGAATCATATATATTATATAATTGCAATACAATAATTGGTTCTTTCAAAGTGTAAGCATCACTTTAATGTAGCAGGTGGGGCTAATTTTAACTTTACATAGTGCTGCATAACTTAATCTATAATAATATCACAATTCATTTCATTATATTTTGCATTAGTAATCTGAATCTGCAAAGTAACAACAATAGTACCTAAAAATAAATGTAATGCAGTAAAAGTGCAATATCGCTCTATGAAATGTAGTGGAGTAGAAGTATAAAAATACTCAAGTGAAGTACCAGTACCTCAAATTGTACTTAAGTACACGACTAGAGTACTGCACTTTCAAACGTTAACTTTAAAAGAGTAATAAAGAAAAAAGAGTTTTAGAAGAGTAATATATAATATATACATTACCTCTGTTCTTCCCACATTTTAACAGAGCTGTGAGTGTTGAACTCTAACGAGCAAAGTAAACCATGACCTGTGTATTTATTCACTGCATTGTGGCGTCAATATCGC